TGCTGTTTGATACAGACCTGTTGATCCTAAACCAGCGCTTATGTTGACCTGGATCAGCGTAATAAACGCAACAAAAAGGCTTTACTTTTTATTTTACAGCTTAAAGCATGTACGCAGATTAATGCAATATCATATTTAAACAAACTGTTTACAAAAAGTCTACATATGCGCGCGTGTTGTTGTTGTCTTTTCATCACGCAGCGCGCACTTGAACCGCGAGGGAGAGAGAGAGGAAAGCATAGGCTATATCAGGGCATAATCTTTAAAGTAATGATTTCTATTAAAAATGTAAAGGTTTTGTGATTATAATAATAACAGCGGGCCATTAAATAAATGCATATTTTCCGTGGAGCAAGCAATTTGAGGAAGTCAGCTATTTTTATTTGACGGAAGAAAAAAAACATATGATTGAAAAAAAAAGCCCATGCCGGTTATTAAAAAGAATCAGTCAGTATTTTCGTTTTGTAATATAAATTAATTATTTAAGTGAAAATAATTTAGGGCAGTCCTATTTATTTTATTTAGATTATTCTGCTCTTCTGTGCTAAACACTGTAGGTGCGTGAAGATGCTCTGTTGTTCTGTTCCGCTATTAATATATAAAAATAAATCAGTATTTTAAAATGCAATATTTAATGTGTCATACACAAAATAGACACGTCAATTTGTTTAATATAAAATTAATAGTAATCTGACCAGTTAACCGTTAATAACCGATTAATGAGCGGCGGTTGTCGGTTAGCAAAATTAACTAAATGAGCATCCCTAGCTATTTAATTTACTTTTTCTTTGTAAGAGAACTTGATTGAAAAATAATTTTCAACATGCTTGAACCATCTAAACAATGGAGTTTAGTTCTGTTTGGTTTTTCAACAGTATTTTGTTACAAAGAAAACAGAAGTGATCTTTGGCTATTTATTTATTTTATATATGGCTATTTATATTGTTAATAATTTGCATAGTTAATATTGTTCTTTGATGTTTAGTTTATAAAGATTTTTCAAATGTTATTTAATTAAAAATAGTTTTAAAAATCTTTTTTTTCCCACCCCACACGAAAAAAATAAAATAAAAAATCGTGATACGAATCGAATCGTGGGTCAAAAATCGTGATACGAACCGAATCGTGGGTTTGGTGTATCGTTACAGCCCTAAAAGTTATGGTGAAGGTGTTTGTAATTTGAAATCAATGTGTGCGTTTGTGATGCATTTTTAAAAGCAATGCTTCACTTTGCATGAGATGCGAGGCATTTTGCAGTTTGCGTGTGCATTTCTTTACAGTTCAGGAAAAAAATAAAGGAAAAAAAAAAAAGAGAAAAAGGCAAAGTTTTGAAATGTGTGCAAGTAAAAACTGAAATCTCTAGTCTATTGTGTCTCACCATTCGTCCCAGAATCTCCAGGTTGATTCGACACCACTGATAAAGAGGAACTTTGAAAGCTGACAGGAACGCAGATGAACGTCCAGCATCTCCATGAACCTGGACATGGATCTTACCTGAATGATCAGACCGAACATGAGCTCTTTAAGTGATCAGAATGAAGAGTAATTGAGATCAGAGAAGTTTTACCAGACTCAGTCAGGAACACTGTAGGAGAGGCGTAGTTGTTCTCAGCGTCGATGTGGTGCAGAAGTCCACAAAACCGGTTACTGCACGGCTTCACCAGCAAAAGCCAAAGTGAAACTGCACACCTGAAGAGCCAGAACCGTTACTCGCTTGGTTATACTGCATATTAAACTATTCAAATGAAGTGTTATTGACATAAATATATAATCACAGTATAAGTAAATGCACAGACTCTCACCAGGGATAATGGATGGATTTGAGTCTCTGCCCTTCCAGAACTGGATTGCTGAATGGCTGGAGGGTTTTGATGATGCCATAACGCTCACCGGTAGAGGCATACAATGTGGACAGAAGAGAAGCCGCCTCTGAAGAGGAAAAGAAGGCTTAGTCCCTTAATTTATCAGGAGTCGCCACAGAGGAATGAACCGCAAACCATTCCAGCATACGTTTTACACAGCGGTTGGCCTTTCAGCCGCAACCCAGTGCTGGAAAACACCCATACACACTCTCATACACTACAAACAATTTAGTTTATTCAATTCACCTATAGCACATGTCTTTGGACTGTGGGGGAAACCCAAGCACTCGGAGGAAACCCACACCAACACGGGAAGAACAAGCAAACTCCACACAGAAATGACAACTGGCCCAGCCGGGGTTCAAACCAGTGAACTTCCTGCTGTGAGGCGACTGTGCTAACCACTGAGCCACCCTTCAAAGTTAGATATTTAACAAAAATCAATTCTTGCACAGAATTTTTGAACAGGACAGTCATCAGGCCACTTGAGTGAAGGGAGCGAGTTGTTTGAGTGATCAGTGGGGTGGTGGTGGGGGATGTCAGACCAGATTTACAGTGGCAGGCCAGATTGACCATTAGGTCACTGGGAAATGTCCCGGTGCTCCCTATGGCCAGTCCACCCCTGTTTCTCACTATAATTTAGTACACTGAAAATGATTCATTGGATTTACTGTATTTTATGGTAAGTGTTTGTAGACAATTTATATGGGCTGAATTAAAAAACAAAAAGCGATTTCAATTGAGTAATGTTCAACTTCATTTGTTTAAACTCAGCGAGTATAAATTCTTTGCAACTAGCTACCTTAAAAAAAATACAGTAAATCCAATGAATATTTTTCACTGTAGCTTTACTTATAGTAAAATTGCTAAAATTAGTTCACTAAAATTAACCTAGCTTCAAAAACTTAACAAAAATAAAATTCTCAATCTAAATTACTACTAATATACAATAAATCATATTAAACGCAAGACAGTTGTGTATTTTACCCATTGAAACATTAAATTTTGCAGAAAATAAAATGTCAAAACATGGGTGAGGTAATAACCATATTGTCATTCATTAACAGACAATTTAATGTTAAAAAATGTGAAACATTTTGTTTTAATTAAATTAGATAAAGGAATAAGTAATGATTCTAAATGGGAATGTATATTTTTTTCTCCAATTTCTGTTTAATGGAGAGATTTTTTTTCAACACATTTCTAAGCATAATAGTTTTAATAACTCATCTCTAATAACTGGTTTATTTTATCTTTGCCATGATGACAGTACATAATATTTGGCTAGATATTTTTCAGGACACTTCTATATAGCTTAAAGTGACATTTAAAGGCTTAACTAGGTTAATTAGGTGAACTAGGCAGGATAGGGTAATTAGGCAAGGTATTGTATAATGATGGTTTGTTCTGTAGACTATCGAAAAAATATATAGCTAAAAGGGGCTAATAATATTGACCTTGAAATGGCGTTTAAAACTGCTTTTATCCTAGCCAAAATAAAACAAATAAGACTTTCTCCAGAAGAGAAAAAAATATTAGACATACTGTGAAAATTTCCTTGCTCTGTTAAACATCAATTGGGAAAATAAAAAAATAAAAAAAAACATTATGGTTATATTTGTTTATGTATGGGCTCTATATATAGATAGTCTCCTTAACCAAACACATCAAATTCTGATCATAAGCAGAGACTGAAAGACCTGTAATGGGTGTGATAGAGAAATGAGACATCCAAAACATGCAGTGTTGGTGGTCCTGGTTAAGAAACACTGGTTTAGGATATATGTTTTTACATTCCATGATTTCAATGCCTTAAATAAATTGTTAAAAAAAGTATAATTAAAAAATATTCCTAAGAATAAAATGTGTTGTTTGGTCTACTTGCATTGTGATGATATTATCATTCTGGCATTATATAATGACTGGCATAAAGTGGTCTTAAATGACAATGATATCGTTTCTCACAATATATATTTGGTACAATATATCGTACAACAACAAAAAGACATCATGACAGGCCTGGTGTTTCCAATGAATTGTGCGATTAATAAAGAATTCAGATGCAAAACCTTGTAAGTGCAGTCTAAAAATTCTTCTAAAATAAGCGGATTCCTGTGTGTAGGTTTAGCACTATCATGTTTATGGTGATGAATAGGTTATTTTATTACCTTTAAAACAAAATGATTGAGCATCAGGAGGCTGAGAGAAATTCTAATTTTAGAAGAAAAGATGGCACTCTGAGGTTTTTGCATCTCAACTCTTCAAATGTATGATTTTAATAGCTACCATTTTCTTGGGCGCACTGTGGCGTGTCCCTCCTGAATCTCCAGAGCAGATCTGTGTCCCAGTTGGCACAAAGCTGGTGTTGTTTTAAGGGTCGACTCAGTGGTGACTGAATGTTGAGAGGAATCGACACACTGGCTCCAAAAAACCTGTCCGGCCCGGAGGTTTCATCTGGGCCGATCCAACCGCGCAACAAACAGCTGAGCGCCCAATCAGAACCGCGGATTACCCGGTCAGGACGGTACACAATCCAGTCAGGAAACCCCACGAATACCACTCGGGTTCTGGGTCGTCCCGGCTCGCAGTTCCAGTGTTTGTGAAAAACAACTGAGGTGGATCCAGTATCAAAAGTGACCAGAACCTGAACGTGCACCACTGACGGCTGAAAACAGCTGAACTGAACGCGTAAAGGACACTTGGAGACTGGCGAATCTGGTGCGTCGAGAAAAGCCACGTTACCTGAGCTGGAGCGACTCAAACAGCCAGTTAAAAACATCTGTTGCAAACAAATACACATAAGTCATGGATGTAAACAACATTAAGCATGGTAACTGATATGTGTAGGATATACTTACACAAACAATGACATATGAGCACAAGTATAAACTCTTTAGATCCCTCATTTTTCGTCTATAAAATTAAGATTTGGATTAAACGAAACAACTATAAAATGAAGATTTCTGCTGTGGTCATCGTGATGCACAGACACGCTGTTTTGTTGCGTTATTTGTCTGTTTGCGCCATATCCGCATCAACAACCGTCGAAGCGCCGGATTTCATGTGATTAAATGCCGAAGCAGGTACCTGAGAGGCCCGGAATAACATCCTGTTCGGCTACAGGTGTAAGAGTTTAAGTAAACACAACGAACAGTACCACCCTCCAATGCAAATCTAGGATCCTCATGAATAATTAAGCCTACTCTCAAGTGCAGTTTAGATTGCCTGTCGTTGATTGGTGTAGATATATATATTTTTAAACGATGGAAAACCAGTGTTTAAAACAGCTATGGGGTAACTGGCATACATAAATATGTTTATCATTGTTTAGTGTTGTATATAATGTGGGATTTAGTTCCTTTTCAATACTAGCTGTGCCTACTTCAAGCTTGTCCTCGCTGACCGGATCGGTTGATAAAAGGAAATAGTAACGGAGTGGCACTCACTGAATTAACATTCACATTAACATTAACATTCACTACATAGGCTAACGGCGACGCAGTGGCGTAGTAGGTAGTGCTGTCGCCTCACAGCAAGGTCGTTAGGTCGCTGTGTGGAGTTTGCATGTTCTCCCTGCGGTCGCGTGCGCTTCCTCCGGGTGCTCCGGTTTCCCCCACAGTGCAAAGGCATGCGGTACAGGTGAATTGGGTAGGCTAAAATTGTCCGGAGTATATGTATGTGTGTGTGTGTGTGTGTGTGTGTGTGTGGATGTTTCTGAGATGAGTTTGCGGTTCATTTCGCTGTGGCGACCCCGGACTAAGCCGACAAGAAAATCAATGAATGAATATAGGCTAACAAAATTCTAGGAAATTACATGATTTCCTGACTTGTACATTCGTAAATATATTGATAGAAGGACTGATACAATGACAGAATGATAGAATGTTAGATAGAAAAAATGATAGCCATAACTGTAGGTAAAACACAGGATGGATGGATGGATGGATGGATAGATAGATAGATAGATAGATAGATAGATAGATAGATAGATAGATAGATAGATAGATAGATAGATAGAGATAGATGCATAGATGGATGGATGGATAGATGGATGGATAGATAGATAGATAGATAGATAGATAGATAGATAGATAGATAGATAGATAGATAGATAGATAGATAGATAGATAGATAGATAGATAGATAGATAGATAGAGATAGATGCATAGATGGATGGATGGATGGATAGATGGATGGATGGATAGATAGATAGATAGATAGATAGATAGATAGATAGATAGATAGATAGATAGATAGATAGATAGACAGATAGATAGATAGATAGAGAACTATAGATAGCACACAATATAAAGATGGAATGGTAAAACTGGTAAAATGATACAGAACTATGGATAGACAATATAAAAATACAGAATGATAGACAGAGGCATGGACAGATAGACAGATGAATGATAGAACAAATATAGATAGAACAGAGCTATGGATGGAACACAATATAAGGATGGATGGATAAAACTAATAGAATGATACAGAACTAGATAGATAGATAGATAGATAGATAGAAGAATAGATAGATAGATAGATAGATAGATAGATAGATAGATAGATAGATAGATAGATAGATAGATAGATAGATATATGGACAAACCTGATAAAATGATAGACAACTAGATAGAACACAATATATAAAGACATATTAATTCAATCGATCAATGGATAAACACTATAATTCTTTGAGACAAAGCATCAATGGAAATAACGGAAAGCTCACTCTTTTTAAAACATTTTTATTGCTTTCATGCAGGAGTGCCATAAAATTTGAAGACTACAGTTCTGAACATTACAGAAGATGCAAAATTATCATAGTTTGCTTCATTTCTCCACTTCTGTCTGTACAGTATAGGCATAAATAGCTCAAACGGAGAAGTGAGCGGGAATAAGCAGGGGCACAAGAGTCCAAAACAGCTCCCGTCCATGTTCGAGAGAACTGATGTTGAAAACATGCATCAACACAGTGATGTGCAGTTTACTGGAGCGGACTGACACGGCGCGCACACTGACAAAAGAGCTTCTTCGTGCAAAAGAGGTGCAGATGAAACAAATACATCCGCGTAGTTTTATACCTTTTGTTTTTATACATTTCGATGTGGTCTTGTACATCTTACACCAAAGAAACGACAGAGAAGAAACCGGTGATGTTTCGTGCAGCGCTGCTTTGGTTTGCCTCCAGGTTAGTTGATACATCTGACCTTCATAGGCTGTGGGGAAATAAACGAATAAAATGCATAGTGACGTCCCTCACTGAGTCTTTTTATTCCTAACCAGCTCTCGTTTCAGAAAGTGTGCTTTTAGTTTATCTTGATGAACATCATGTAAACCCCAAGAAGAACAGAGAGTGGATTCCACTTCCTCTGAAAATGCACAGTGGTAAAATCCATCTGCTAGAACATCGGACCATTTCAAGAGCACTCACTCCATTATTACAGCAGTCATGAGTGGTTTAAGCTGCTTTAAAATGATAGAAAAGAGCACCTGTAGATACAAATCAACGTGAACAAAATATTTCCAAGCCCTCTATCTCTCTCAAACAAGTGAGAAGAGCAAATCAAGACGATTCCACAATGGTTTGGACAATCTAGACCTTAATAGCAAGTCTGCTTAAGATCAGACATCAAATCATTGGTCAAACAACACTAAAATCTAAGCTTTTGGACGTTTCTAAATATTCTGGACTGATTTAGTCTGGCACTTTGAATACAAAACAACATCTATCGAAGCTGTAGTTATTTGGTTTCATTCGAATGAAGTGAAACAAAGTTCTATTCGGAGCTTAGATGATGTCACTATAAAAAGCCAGCAGATGATAGGGCGAAGATACTAGCAAAAGTTCCAAAACATTCATGTGCATATTCAAAAATCACCTTGGATTCACTAAATAAAGGGTGCCCAAACTGTCCTGGAGGGCCGGTGTCTTGCATATTTTAGTTTCAACCCCAAATAAACACACCTGAACCAAGCTCTTTCTAGGTATACTAGAAACTCCCAGGGAGGTGTGTTGAAGAAAGTTGGAGCTATGCAGGACACCGGCCCTCCAAGACCGAGCACCCCTGTAGTAAATGATTTGGAATGATCAACAAAGATCAAATAATCGAGTCCCTTAATTCTTCTACATCCCAAAAAATCCCTGAAGCCTTGGAGATACTTTCAGTGTCTTGTTTCTTGTAAACGTTTTAGTGCGTGTTCCAGCATACTCTTAATCTTTTTTTACAAAACCGATTAACATTCAGAAATAGTGCAACGTATTTGAGGGGAGATTCACACTTATAGATCAGCCCTTTTACAGATTCTGAGACCATCGACGAACACTGACCAAAGAGTACCGTTGACAATTCATTTGAACTTCGAAGACAAAGGAGTGTTGCTGATTGAAACTGAAGAACCAAGCTATTCGGTGTTTTAAGCCAAGGGGAACGAGAATCAAGCAAACATCTAGGAGCATTCAAAGTTCAATCAAACAAAGGCGAAGACATGCAAACTGATACAAGGATTATACAAGGAAAGAAAAGTCCATCAGATTCCTCTGAAAGTCTGGCACTATCTCCTGCTGAATAAATAATGAGTTACATTCCCAAAAAAAGGTCCAACCCATTCCCCACAGGTGTATAGTTACAACCCACATCCCCAAACCGTGCTTGTTCCAGTGTTCCTCTGAAAAAGCGAACGTTTCAATAAAGATCTTGGAAAGGTGTTCTGACTCGAAAGGTAACTTCTGACCAAATTGGGCAAGGAAAAAAAAAAGTAAATCAACACATTTATAATCAATGATACGACAAAAAGAAATGTACGGGGAGAAAAAAAAACAAAGCAATTGTCCAGTTGTCTTATTTCTTCTGTTTTTTGAAGATCTTGAAAGTGTGTTTCTTGCGACTGGCAGCAGAGTCAGTGTCTTCACCTGTAGAGCCGCTGTCCTCCTCTAGGGGACTCTTTTTGGATGATATCTGGGGTATGCGGTTTCCAGCCTTGCCCCCAGTCAGTCCAGTGGGGGACGGCGTGTCGGGTTCAGTGGAGTTTGGGCTTAAGGAGCGTGATGATTCCGACATGGACATTGCTGCCTGCGAGCCATGGATCTCGCTCATACTGGCGGATTTCTCGATGCCATACAACTTCTTCATTAATATGGGACTATCGGGAACTCCATCAGGAGATGGTCCCCCATCGTGAACTCTGTTTCCTCCATTGTGGGTGTGAGACTGGGCTCCCTCTTCAGAACGAGAGTGAGGGCCATGCAGGAGTGAAGTGGGCTTTACAGGGAATCCTTTGGAACTGTAGGATAGGCGTAGCTGTTCGCCAGTCTGGGATATACACAAGGATGAATCTGAATCGGAACGATTCAAGTCCCTGTGCAGAAAACATTGAAATTAGCATCAATGCATGTGTGAGATGTCAAACCAATCCAGGTTAATCCATTGAAACTAAAACTGCTATTTGAATTCAACCCACTGAATCTACTCTAAAGCTGCGTCCGAAATCACATACCACTCAATTAGGTACTACATTAGAATTTAAACTTACGATATAGAATGAATGCGAGTAAAACGAATGGAATTTGCATGTACTACATTCACCATTTGTCATTATCACATGACCTACACACGTCACTTGAATTACTTCATTCCCATTCATGAATTGTCTCACATGGCTTCGTGGGATAGTAGTGTCCATTGGATGCATGCTACAGAATCTTGCCAGAATAGAAGATCATCTGGGAACTTCTCGCCTACTGTTTTTCAAATTCGAACACTACTCACATATTATATAGTAGGGAAGTATGCAATTTCGGACGCTGCTTAAGTCTTCCAAACTGAACCACACCATGCTAAGGTTAAATACCTAAAGCTAGAGAGGTGCAAGCTATGCATAGAGCTATACATAACAATAGTCCAGGCCTGCACTGAGAGGGCCACCTTCTGACAGTTTAGCTTTAACCCAAAAGACACACCTGGAGGACCAATGATGCCCTTTCAGAAACTTATGGGAAAATATTTTGGTGCAGGACCAAGCTAGACTTTGTAGAAAGGTTGTACTGGAAGTAGTACCTGGACTGGACACCTAACACAGAGACACCCCAAACCTGGGGTGATCAATCCTGCACCTGCTAACAACCCCAAAAGAACACA